ATTTGTACAGTAGTCAAGTCGGTATTTGTCTCTCTCCCTTCCTTATTTTTTTTTAATAACAAGCCGTTCACTATAAAATTTCACAGTAATAGCGAAATGGCTACTTCCAAGATGTTTGTATTATGTGAAAAATAACGTTCTATTTCAAAACAGTTGTAATATACATGCATTGATAGATTTTACTATACTTAATCTATAAAAATAACCAGTTTCGCATATTTTAATTTTAGTGAATGTCATGAAGAACAATTAAGGATAGTTTGTACGTCTTATGGATATCGACGTCACCTATTCACACTAAATAATTCGATGTTCGTAGTATTGCTGTTATTGTTTCTGAATGATATTTTCTCATGTTGAGATGATTGCATATCGGCGATAAATGACAACAGCAAAACAGTTATTGAAAACTAAAAGAAGTATTGGATTTGCCTCTTTAGATAGATGCTGTATAAATAATTCATGTTCGTTGTTCGTGACAGCACGTGGCTCTATGAATGCCAGGCTTATAGTTGCGTCAAATTCTTTTTGCTTCTGTAGAAGAAAATGAAACTAAAAACGTTTAAAACACATTAATACAGAACAGCCCCATGCTACACTAGACTTTAAGGACAAAACTTGGCGACCGGTGAGCTGTCCAACGTACATTATAGCAAGTGGACATCGAAGTGTCATAGATAATAATGGTTCAATTAGTGAAGGAGGGGCATTCATTGGAATTAGCTAATTTCAACTTTAAACATTCCTAGCAGGGGGGTTACATTCCATGGCAGCCCAGAACCATTTACCCTGAAGCTACATTTCCAGTAACCACCGTGGGGGAGTAGAGTTGAGCCAAAAAGGTTTCCCACCCTCTTTCACACCCCAGCCCTCTTCTTTGACTCTACCACTCCTCCAACAATAGACTAGCCTGGTCAACAAAATCCACAAACAAAAGACCTCCATCCAGTTTGAATAGCTTACTGAAAACAAGGGCTAGAAATCCACTTACCCTCTGTGGCTACCTCCCTTACTGACCTGTGAAAAGGATATGTCAGGTGTGAGAACGTGCACTTGAAGGAGTTATTCTTTTTCATAATAGGATTATAGTTAATGTAGAATTTCGTGCAGAAAATGCTTAACGATAACATAATATTAATACATATTTGTAAAAATCGTAATAATAATTAATGTTACTTAATATTTTGTGGATTTAGCCGCACTTGCACATATTACGTCCATGTTCATTCATGATCATTACTAAGAGTTTTAAGAAATGTTTTTTAAAAGCTCTCGAAACGCAAAGAAAAGTTAAAAAACGTTAAGTACTTGAATAGTTCAATTTAAAAGTTTTTGATAAGAAGAGACATTTATCAGATTGTCTGAAAAATAAAGTTGTCATGTATGTAAAGTTTATAAATTATTTTTCTTTTTTCCGATATAAGCGGCCTTGCAGTCACCACATTGTATTTATAAACAATCCCAATGAAAGAGAGATACGTAGATAGACTCTTGTTTTAATATAAAGGTCTGTTTGAAAATGATGTTCAGTTTCATCCGTGGATAGAACATTCTTATTAAAAGATTTAAGGTGTTGAGAAAGTATGACACTTTGTTGTCCTAGGTAAGGTATGGTTAGAGAGACTTGGCATTTATCAACTGTAAACAATTTTATGGGAGGTTTAAATATTTTGTTCAGAAACATCCTGGTTAGGCTTTCATCATTTTCTTAGTTGTACAATAATATTTCATGAAAAAAAAACAATTACAAAGTTTAAAATTAAATACGTTGAACAGATTTTAAAGGATCGAGTCAGTAGACATGTTGTTAGGTTGATCTTGTATCCTACAGGAATAAAACTATCAAACTGGTAAGCTGTCCTGTGAACGTTTTCTTTCGATATATTGACGTTAAAAACTTCGAGCATCTGGAATAATTAGCACATCTAGAAAAGGTAAAGTATTCTTTTCTTCAAATTCACATGTAAAACTGTATAGACGAGTGTTGTGAGTTTAAATACTTAAGAAACTGTTAAAAAAAATGACGAAGGTGTCACCAACGTAGCGTTTCTAAAATATTGGTTTGAATTTCTGTGGTCAGTTTTTCAACCAAAACTGTTCATGGTGGTTCAGAAAAATATTAGGTAGAGTTGGTTCTAATGGTGACCCCATAGCCACTCCATCAGTTTGGTCAATTAGTTTGTCATTAAATATAAAATGGTTGTTGTTGTTGTTTTATAGCGTGGGTAATTAAGGATCTAAGTTAAGCCATAAGCGTCTTGAAAGTTTTCCAAGAAATTACAGATGGTCTCATCTAATGGAATGTTTGTGAATAAAGAACATTATTTACAATTAAAATGTTTTATGACATCATCTTCATACAACACAGAAATACATGTAGAGTTCTTTTAGGGCATGTCCTTGTTTTTAATAACTATTTATTGTGTAAGATTTTAACGTTGTATTCATTTTAATTGTAAATAGATGTTTTACGCAAGTGTCGTTTTTAAATTATTTAATAAAGAACTTATATCAAAACTAGCCATAAAACATTCATTGGGAGGATGTAGATATTTTAACTCTTTAACAAATGAAAACGAGCCCAGGACAGGGAATTCAATAAATTTTAACGGTTTAAGAATAAGTACAAGGAATTTGGTTGTTTTGTAACTGTGCGTTCTGATTACTGAAAGTATAAGGGTTAATGGATGATTCTGTTTATGAGCCTTAGAGAGGCCGTACATTATATGGGGTTGTGATCCATAAGAATATAACAGGTTGAACGTATTATCAGTAACAATGTTTTTGTTTTTTAAGTCAATATGGAAGTGCTGAGATTTTTCTTCACTCTGAATGGTTAGAGAGAGCGTATCTAACGTAAGGGCTTTTAATTTCTAAGCCTAATTAGGATATTTCTGAACAAAATATATTTAACACGTCCCCCTCGAGCCAGTGAGTGTCTTTACACTACAATTTGTTGAGTATTAAAAGTAAGTTCAATCCGAAAAATCCCAAAGAGGGTGGTTTTGGACGAATCTTTTCTAGACAACTTCCAGAGTAGTTTTTGTTTGTTAACTGATAATTTTTTAAGTGAAATACAACATTCTCAAGTCTCCATACTAGCTAGTACTAAGGTCTACCCGCTGGGAGTAAATTCAATATATATTAATAAAGCTACATTCTCAGCATCATTAATTAAGCACTTGCCAACCTTTTATGCTTCTGTTATTACCTTTTTATGTTTAGCTTTCAATTGAGATACGAACGATTTCACCTGCGCTTCGGTAGGGAAGATCGAAGCATCACAATAGTCACCAGTAGGATGAACAGAGAGGAGCACTTTGAAAGCAGCTACAGACATAATATTGTACTCGGTTTGCTGCACAATATCTACCAAGGTGGTTCTAAACGGTTCTTGAATACCTCTGCGTGTCATTTGGATACTTCCATGCTTTTTTTGTACTTGGCCGTTAAGCTCGTGATGCGCTGACGGATTTCAGTCACTTTACCACTTCAAATCACTTTTCGCAGCCCCAATGCCAAAAAAAAGGTGCAAGAAATGCCTTCTTTTTAGCCAATAAAAATGTCCAAAAAATTTCAGTTTAATTTAATAAAAACCGGATTCGGTAGTTTGTTTTTCAACAAAAACGTCCCCCACTGGCTTATTAGGTGCCTGTTAAAACTCCCATAAAATTGTTTGTAGTTGATAAATGTCCAGTTTCATTGACCATACCTTACCTACGACAACAAAGTATCATACTTTCTCTAAGCAACTTAAGTTTTTAATAAGAAGTCCCCCAGTAGCACAGCGGTATGTTTACGGGCTTATACCTCTAGAAACCAGGTTTCGACACCCGTGGTGGGCAGATCACAGAAAGTTCTACCCACAGATCAAGCTGAACATCATCTTAAAATCATCCTCTAGATTAAGGCATCTTTTTAAAACAAAGAACCATCTACTTATCTCTCTTTCTTTTCTTCTTTTTTGTTGTTGTTGTTGTTGTTAGAGCAACATAATAAGTATTTGCTAGTTTGGTGCTACCAGTGGTTTTCAGTTAAAAGTCAGTCACGTCAGTTTTTATTTTATTCAGTTAGCTTTGAAAAGCTATATTAATACTAATTTTTGATGCTATTACAGGGACTGTAAATCATAAAAATCACCGTGTCGTGACATCGTTCAAACGTATTATATATCGCCAAACCCTAAAGTGTAAGAAAGAATTATGCTACAAATGATTTAAATATTCTTACTTTTTTGTATCATTTTATTTACAAAATATGTTTAACAGGCTCCCCACGTACATTCATATGTGTGTGTTTTAATATAGCATCGGGCTAGCTGCTGTGTCTATCGAGGAGAATCGAACTCCTGATTTTAGCGTTCTAAATCCAAAGACTTACCAATGTCCCACCAGGGGACCATACATTGATAAATAATGTGTTCGAAATATTTATTAATTTAGTTTCTCCGAGATAATTGCGGATACATATATATTTTCTGAAGTAAAAAAGCCACATTTTTTTTTAAATCTAGGTGTTGACTACTCTATTATTTGCAAAGATTTATTTAGATATTAATTACTTTGGTTGCTCCCTTAGTATTGGATTGATTGAGTGGCAGGCGTTTAAAGAAAGTTATTGGTTTGCTATTTCGTCGACCGTGACGTCAAGATCTCCTGGTGATAAGAAAAAGGCTTGGTGAAGACTGTAACAGTTTAAATAAAGCTACACGAGGCTGAAGTTCATTATGCGTAGTTTAGACGCGGTTCTACTTCATTGTTTCTAGTTGTTCTGTAATTATCGGAGAAAACAGGAGTCGAGAATTGTTAGGTTCAATTGAAAGTAAATGTTTTGATAGTACAGTACGGTGCGTCACTGTGTACGTACAAGTTGAAACCTGTTTATCACGAAGAGCGTGTTATGATAGACGAGCCCATATCTTTCGTAAAATAAACCTTTTGACCGCTACTTGAGTCCACTACAGGTGGACTAGTATGTGAAGTGACGCACGGAGGCTTACCATGACATTTCCTGAATCAGGAGCACGAGTTTTTGCACGTTTTATGTCCTATATTGTTCTGGTATTTATTACTTTGGGACCACAAAATGTAGTAGGACAAGAAAGAAAGTGTGAAAAAATAACCATTCCCATGTGCACAAACATTGGCTACAACTTCACATCCATGCCCAACAAATTTCACCACGAGACTCAAAAGGAAGCTGGATTACAAGTTCATCAGTTTTGGCCGCTGGTGTTAATAAACTGCTCAGACGATCTACAATTCTTTCTCTGTTCTCTGCACACACCAATATGTATGAAGGATCACAATAAGCCTATTCCACCTTGTCGTTCAGTTTGTGAACGAGCACAAGCTGGTTGTGCCCCTATTATGAGGCAGTACAGGTTTAATTGGCCAGAAACAATGACGTGCGAAGAATTTCCGAACTACGGAGATCCTACCAGAATGTGTATGGACCATAAAAAGGGTCAAAAACCAGATCGTACTTCTATAAACCAAAAATATTCATCTCTTAGAAACGTTAGAACATATGGTGGTCAATACAAGAATAGTCTAAGTGGAAAAGATGGACCAAAATATGTATCACCAAAGAGGCACGATTCAAACAATGATTCTTCGTCTTTCATTGGACAAGAGGATTGTAAGTGCTTCTGTCGTCCTCCCATGGTCACGCTTGTTGACACAGAAAGAGTTAATTTTGTCAAGACAGGAGGGTTATTAAACTGTGCTGTCCCATGTCACGGCACCTTCTTCTCCACAGACGAAAATACTTTTACCACGATGTGGCTCGGACTCTGGTCAGTGCTGTGTTGTATTTCCACTTGTTTAACCGTCATTACGTTTCTGATCGACATGCAGAGATTTCGTTATCCAGAACGTCCTATCATCTTCCTCTCCGGCTGTTACTTGATGGTTTCCATAGGCTATTTGGTCCGGCTGGTCATGGGACATCCTGAGCTGGCTTGTGATGGACCAATCGTTCGGTATCAGGACTCTGAAAGACCGGCAGCATGCACCATTGTCTTCCTGTTGATTTACTTCTTTGGAATGGCTAGCTCTCTCTGGTGGGTCATCTTAGCCTTGACTTGGCTTCTGGCAGCTGGACTGAAGTGGGGGAATGAAGCTATTGCTGGATACTCGCTATATTTCCACTTGTTAGCTTGGTCATTACCAACAGTCAAAACAATTGCCATCTTAGCCGTGGACGGAGTGGATGGGGACCCCGTGGCTGGTATTTGTTTCGTTGGAAATCAGGACTTGACTCTCCTGCGAGGATTTGTACTGACTCCTCTCTGTGTCTACCTTCTTTTGGGAACATCCTTTCTCTTGGCTGGATTCGTGGCTCTTTTTCGGATCAGGAATGTCATCCGACAACAAGCTAGAGCTAAAGTAGACAACTTGGAGAAGCTAATGATCAGGATTGGAGTCTTCTCGGTGCTGTACACGGTGCCAGCCACCATCGTCATCGGCTGTTACATCTACGAACAACACTCCCGGGAAGCCTGGGAGAAAAGACATAACTGTCCTTGCAGTAACCCGGATATACGTCCTGATTACACTGTATTCATGCTCAAGTATTTTATGTGTCTCGTTGTAGGGATCACTTCAGGATTTTGGGTCTGGTCTGAAAAAACCGTGAACTCCTGGCAGCGTTTTTATGGAAGAATATGTGGGAGTAATTCCCATGATTGTGTAGAAAACGAAACTTTTAAACCAGTGATTGTAGTAAATCATGTTGAGAAGTTCCATCCTTACTACAAGCAGATGCCCATATCCCACGTTTAAAAAGTGTCTATAAATATATATATTACTAGAGACATCCTGAAAGTGACTTAGACGAAGTTGCATAGAATATTAATAGATTGAAACAACGAAAGTGAGAAGTTTAATAATTTTGTAAAAAGAAATACCGCACAGCATACACTCGACGTTCTTGTATAGCTCTCTCATAGTCAGTTGATACTAATTTTATTTTGTATATGAAAGTAAATGTTGTTTTCAAGTCAATACATTGTTGATAAACACCTTTTATTTCCAGTATTATTATTATTTTCCGTATTTTGTTTGTGAGCTTAATACAGAAACACATCGTTAAGTGATTTTCTACCTTAAGCCTCTTCAACTGGAGTACAATATGTTTGAGCTGGTATATTAGATGATTTTTTATAAATAGTGATTTTTAAATATAACAGTTTGAGCTCTGTTTATTTATTATACGTTTAATACGTCACGTCGAATCTCTAATATCGTTATTAGCATTTGATCTAAATCTATATATTACCTGATATTTTTATAAGTGAATACGCTTGTTTTCTTTTGAAAATGTTTACTTGTACGACTTTAAAACAATAAAAGTATATCACTGAGGAAATGAATTAGTGACGCAAACTTTTAAAAACCCGTGAATCTTTAATAGTATACTTGACTCTTGATAAATAGATTGTTTGTAATTAAGCACAAAGCT